TGATGGGCGGTGCATAGGTCAACACTAGGGATCCAGGCCTGCATACCCCGGGCTGCCAAAGCAGAGTGCGTGAACTTAACCACTACACCACTGGGCCAGCCCCTACCCATGCTTTTTTTGTTGTTGAATATCAAGCAAAATTAGGCTGTTAAATAGAGAGGCAGTGGGGATAATTACTCCTTTATTAATTAGGTCTTATATAATAAGTGTTAGTCCTTAAAGGCTCTGTTTTAAGCTACATTGGGCATATGAAGTATTTTAACTGGGGGTCCATGGGGCTCTCAGTCTACCAAGCCAATTTATAAATGTCAAAGACTTAATTTAATTTTAATTTATTACTCATTGTTAGAAGGTCTATGTCCAATATGGCAGATTTTAGGGCAATGGATACTACGACTATTGGAAATTTAGGCAAGGCTTTCAAGTGAAGCATACCTATTTTTATTTTATATTTAGTTACTTTCATAAGATTATAGGGAGTACAATGTTTAAATTTAGTGGGATACCCAGCTATAGCAGTAATTCAAGCCCAAGCATTAAGACCATGAAGCTTTGTCAATTGGTGCATTTTAGCAGATGTTAAAGTTAACTTAGAACCTATGCTATTGAGGAACAAAGCCAATCAGTGCCCTTTTTATCTTTTTTGTTATATAAATTCTTTTAGTAAATTTTTCATTTATAATTGAGTCAAATCATGGACCTTTATACACACACATGTAAAATGTATTTATTTTTTATTTTCTAGCCTATATCTACGTTGGTTTGGGTGGTTTGGTTTCTTTTTTCTTTTTCTTTTCCTTTTTGTGTTTGTTCATTCATTTTAGGCTTTTAGCTGCCTGAATCCACAGTTTCTAGTTTCTGTCTCTGGCGAACAATACTATGCGTGGACTTTCTAGGTGCTTACAGCAAAAGCGGGGGAGGGGAGCAGCCCCCGATAAGCAGCCATTTCTCTCTCCCAGGCATCACCATCCACCTCCCAGGGATGGAGGTTTGCACTCAGACGCTGTCACAGCCTTTTCTTGGGACAGTGCAGTTAGCCCCTGGTCAGAAGTACAAGTCCCTTTTCATTGTCTTTTTGTATAAAATCTTTTAGAATGGCATATACCTCTAGGCAGGTAAAAAATTTAGTTTCTGTTTTAGTCTCTTGTATGTCCCAAACTGTTTTGACTCTGAGTGTTTATCAGGTAAACTCTTGGTGGTCCCAAGTGGCCCTGTCTGTGGGTGGTGGCCTCCCTCTCCAGGATGTCCCAAGTGACCTCTGAAGGATCAAGATCCACTTCCAGGAGAGCCACAGTGGCCTTCTCTGTATTTTGAGGCTCCAGGTTTTGAGCATAAGGCCCTTTAGCGTGCTGGTAAGCAGCAGCGCTCAGAAAGGCCCATGAGAGTGGCCTAGGGTTTTATATTTCTGAATCAATGGCATGACTTCCCTGTCAGAGGTCTTAAGCAAGGCAGAAATAGTGTCCCCTCCTTTCCTTTTTCACTAAGCTTTGTGTCACCAGTCTCCATCCATGTAGTCACTCCTACCTCGCTGGGTCAGGCAGCTAAACAACATAACAATCATGACCTTTACCACAAGACTTATGGGGTGCCATGGTTATGGGGATGCCCTCACATTGACCCCGTGAATGGCTCAAGACAGAGGAGTCTCACAGAGTAGTCTCCCACTATAGGATGGAACAGGCCAAAGGAAACGACTCTGTTACAGAATATAGTGACTCTTGGGCCCCATGACTTGTCGGTGCTGCCAGGTGGGCTGATCAGAGACATCCCATGGCACCTGGAAGGGATTACCCCTCACTCCCTTCAGTGGGGTCTATCAACATGAAAAGTAGCCAATTAATTGAAGCTGCTCCCAGGTGCTCTGTCCTGGACACTGGATGCCTTGACTCAGATAGAAATTAGGGGAGGATTCTGTTCACAAGTTCCTCAGTTGGTGGAGGGGATTCACAGCGACACCTGGTGGAGGCACCAAAAAGCAGCTTTGGGCGCAGCACCAACATGCCAGCCAGCTGCGTGCCTGCCCGAGCTGCTCCTGCCATCTGGAAGAACCTGTAAGTCAATGGCACTCTAGTGGCATGTCATTCAATCTGGGACCAAACCACCCTGCTTGCTAGGCGAATTGTTTCAACAGGTTTTATTATTATTCTTTAGTATGGTAAAGCAAACAGATCAGGATAGTTAATTTTAACTGCCACTGAAAAGATAGCTAATTTTACTCAAAGTTCCCAAGAGAGGGAATATACATTATGTCTGGGTGGGAAAGTGGGGGACACAGAGAATAACTGAGGTTGAGGTCAAGAGGCAGAGGGGGAGGGAAGAACTGTGGGCAAAAGCCTTTATGGTGGTTTCCTTGGGATGAGGCAGGGCAACCAGGTTTAGGATTGGGCTGGTTTGAATAATTTCAGCAGGTTCAAGGGCATGGTGGCTGTCCTTGGTTGGCTGGTACCTGGCCCTGGGGTGATTAGGGCAGGTTTTAGTGGCCCAGAGTGTGAGAGCCTGATAAAGGAGGTGGTTGGGGATGTGGACTTAACAGGCTACTCAAGAGGGGGACCTGACTGATTTCTAGCCAGGGCCTCAAAACTGAGTCAAGAAAGCATTTATAAAAACTATAAGAATCCACTAGTCTTGCAATTTGTTCCACCCTGTGCTCTGTAGTGGGTTGAATAGTGTCCTCCTCCAAATTCATGTCCACCTGCAACCTCTGAGTATGATCTCATTTGGAAATAGCATCTTTGAAGATGCAATTAGGATGATGTCATACTCAGAAGCAATAAACTTGGATATTTAGCTGAGGAGATTTCCAAGCAAAGTGTTGCAGGCATAGACTGGTTTCTCCTTGATGCTTATAGTAAAATGCAAGAGGAAAGAAGTAAATTGAAGAAGGGACAGTCAAGCAAAAGGAGCCTCCTCCTTCCCCACCCTCCTCCCCTCCACTCCCCCACTCCACCCCGCGGTGTGTGGGAGGGGACAAGCAGGGGTGGCTCTCCGCAGCCGTTTGACAATAAATTTTGAATATTTAAAATATTATCTAATATTTAAATATTTATAATGCTATTCACATCTATAACGTATATGGTATCCAATATAATTAATACGTTACTGACAGAGAAAATAACTAATGATGTGATGAAAATTAACACTTAGATCAAAAGAGAGAACAATGAGGCCCAGAGCTTCACGGGCCTCAATTTCTCCAGGTTTAAACGGAAAGACACACTCAATTTGACCTAAGTCGTTCTAGGGGCAAGAAGCCAAAATTTTGTCAAATATCTCCAATTTCCAAGGTCCAAGAAAACAGCAGGTAATTTCTGTTCCCATACCGGGAGTCGAACCCGGGCCGCCTGGGTGAAAACCAGGAATCCTAACCGCTAGACCATATGGGACCCGCCGAGAAACAGTTCCTCATGCACGTATACATCACCTACGTCAGCTTGGCGGCCGCACACCCAGACAGCGACTGTGCGTCACAGGCTCGCTCCGCCCTCACGGAAATGTGTCCTGTTTATGGCTGCCCTGACCTCAGGAACCCCCACCTCCCGCCTGGGCCGCGGTCGGAATGTCCAGGCCTTTCCCGGCGGCGGGCACGCCTGCCCTGGAAGTTTCCCAGGAGCTGAGCCGAGCGGATCCTGAGCACTTGTCCGCACGGCGCGCGCGCCTGCAGGCTCGGGAGCACGGGCACACGCAGGCCCGAACTGACAACAGGCTACTGCTTGACCTCAACAACTGAGTTCGAAAACAAAGGACCCCACCCAGGGCCTGGACTCCACGTGAATCTTTTCCGCCAAAAGCAAAAACAGAACGTGTTATCTTTTACTTCTTTGGGCCTCAGAATTCTCAGTGGTTGGTACTTTGTCCATCGCAGGACTTGGCTCTGAAATTCACCCTTTGTGGGGAAGGATGTCTTTTTTTCTCCAGTCACGGAGTTTCCTTTTAAGAGCTTCCATTGGGCGTATCACTGACAAATCAAGCTCAACATGGCCAAAAAAACATGATTCCACCAATCCAACCGAAACTCCGCTGTCCTGCGACTGAGGTATATGTTCAAGTCTCAAGAATTAACATAGTGTGGTACCCATGTATGAACTGACAGTGAGAGGAGTCAAACAGAATGGAAACTGCAGTTTGGCACGGTATACACGGGGAGTAAGGGAAAGGACAAGGTGGCATCTCAAATCAGCAGGAAGGCTGGACTGACCAACACACAGTACCTGGACCTGTGGTAGAAAAGGGGAAGGTACATGCAACACTCACCCCATACCTCATCTGAAACCACACAAGTTCTTGAGGAAAACAGTAGAGAATTCCCCCATCACATCAAGTACAACCCCAAATCCAGAAATCATCAAACAGCTGATTGATAGAGTCAATTCTACTAAGAAAATTGACTAAAACACAACAAGAGATGGGTGATGGTTACTATAGCTGCTTATTCGTTAAGCTATTCAATTGCTCTGTGCAGTTCAATGTAATGTGTTTTATTTTACAATAAAAAGTATTTTACAATTAAAACACCATAAGCAAAGTTAAAAGATAAACTGGGAAAAAATACTTACATCTCATATTATGAACAAAGGACTAATTTCCCCCAAACATAAAGATCAGCTCCCAGAAACTACTAAAAGTACCAACAACCCACTAGGAAAATGAAGCAAGAACACCTAGTTCCCAGAACAGGAAATACAATTGGCCCTTCAACAAATTAAAAGAGGCTCAGTCTCACTCCTGGAAAGATAAAAGCAGGTTTTTAAAAACGTGAAAAGTCTCTTAGAGTTCCCTTGAAAATCTAAGTCAGATCTTTTTTACTTTCTGGCTCAAAGGCTGCCCACCTACTCAGGTGTTTGTGTTTTTTGTTACTGTGGAATCATACTGGCCTGATGTTAGCCGTGTATGGTTTTCCTTCCAAGTCAGTTCTGAGGATCTAGTGAAGCTGAAGGCCTACTTGCACTTCCCTGCCACTGCCTGTGCAGTGGTTCATCCAGCTATGCAACCGCAACTGATTTATCCATGAGATTGTTCTAGCTGTTCACAAATAAGAACTAACCGAAGAGCTTTGCACCTGCCCCACGTGTGTCCTAGCAGAATACAAGCCTAGACATGGTTTCACAGTAGTGACTTCCAACATTCCTCAGTTTGCCCCTTCAAACTTTCACACCTAACCAAGTTGGAAACATGGAGACCAGAGAAATTCTAAGGAGGGAGGATTAGCTGGGGTGGGAGTGGGGGCAGGGGCAATCTGTGAAGGAAGAAGGCCTGAGATGAGGCAGCCACGTCGAAGAACAGCTGTGCTCACTGCCCTGCCTCTGTGATCCCAGGTTGGGCAGCCCCCAGCTCGAGCTGCTTGAGTTTCTCCTGGAGCCCCCGGAGCTGGCTTCGACCCCAGTCGATGCGGATCTGAAGGGTGGCCATTTCTGCAGCCAGCTGCAGGCCTAGAGAAAAAGGAGAGATTGTCACCATGGTATCTGAGGTGTGACACACAGGACTCAGGGGACTCTGGACATCCCCAGACACTGGAAAGGCTCCAGGCCTCTCTGGCCTCTGTACCATTCCTAAAGCATTCCAGGTACAGCCTTGCATTGGCTCTGCTCCAGAATGTCACTGGACCCACACCATAGCTCTTTGCTAAAATGTCATCTCCTCCTTCTTCGACCCCCTTATATCACCCACCAGGAACTAAAAATTCACAGATCATAACACTGTCTCATGTGCTTATTTCCTTCCTTCTTCCCTCCATCATCACAGGCCCTCACTGCTCTCACCCTCTCTCCTGCCACCTGTTTTCTCTGCCCCCAAGAGTGGTCCACACTCTGGATCAACCTCTAGGTGGCTTTCACCTGATGCCTCTGCTGGAACAGCTGCTGCCCAGTCCACTGGCCAGTCCTGTCTTCAACCTACCTGCCTGGCAGCAGAGCTGGCCACACATCTGATCACCTCCCTTCAGGAAACCCTTTCTTCTCTTGGCCTCTGGGACAGCTTGCCCTCTGGGTGTTGCTGCTGCCTCACTGCTGCTTCTCAGTATCCTCAACTGGCTTCTCCTCTTCCTGTCCCTCACCTCCTGTCCACACTCCTGGGCCCTGTGCTGATCTTATCCCATCTCAGTTTTAATGCTGCATCTGTGTCAGCAACTTGGGAATTTAAACACCAGTGTTATGCGGTGGGCTCCCAAATCTCTCTCTCCAGCCCAGGCCTCTTCCAAACTCAATGCATGTGCCCAACCACCTGCTCAGATCTCCACCAGATAGCACTAGGAACACAACTACACCCAACTCCTGACTTCCCCTCAGCTGCTGTCTGCAGCCTTCCCACACCAGGCAAGGGCAGCTCCACCCTCTCCAGGTCTGGCTGGAGACCAGGGGCTTATCCTTCACTCCTCTCCTCTTACTACCAAATTGATCTGTCAGCAAATCCTGTGGCTTCAACTCTCAAAACGAGCACGTTCCCACCACTTAGCCCTCCTCCACTGCCTCCACCTGCATCTCCCACCGGCTGCTCCCTGGCACCTGCTTCTTCCTTCTGCTCTCCTGTTTCCACGCAGCACCACAGGATTCCTGTCACTCTGCAAGTCCAACTGCAGCTCCCTCTGCTCAGAGCCACCTCATCACTTCCCAAGTCCTCATCAGGGCCTACACAGCCCGCAAATCACCTGAGCCTGGCCCCTTCTGACCTCTGCTCCTGGCACTCCGCACTACACCAATGCCCTCCAGCCACTGGCCTCCTCTCCGCCACGCCAGACACCATCTCACCTCAGGGCTTTTGCCCTGCTGGTCCCTTGCCCTAGAATACTGTTCCCCCAGATCACCCACAAAGCTCTCTCCTCCATCTCTTCAGAGAGGCCTTTCCAGGCCACGATTCAGAAAATAGCTCCCCCAGCCCACTCCTGTCCCACTGCATCCACCACACCTCATCTTATTTTTTCATAACAATTCTCACTACCTGGCATTATCTTTACAGCCTACTTATTTACTTGTATGTTCTCTTTCTCCCCTCAATAAACACTCCAGGAGGAGTGTTTGTCCTTTTTGTTTCCTGCTGTATCCCCAGCACCTAGCATGAGCCTGGAACACTGCCAACAACCAATAAATGTAAATGCTCTTTGAAAAAACAGCAGGTGTACAATAAAAGTCTGCAATGGAGAAAACCTGCGAAGCCCTTTGCAGACTAACCGCAGCCCTGGCATTAGTGCTCAAGTGCTCCCTATAGATAGAGGGTCTGAGTTTGGCCCAGGGCCACACTGCCAACTGGCAGGGTTCACTCACCCTCCCGGAAGCTGGCCTGGGCCTGTCGCAGACTGTGAGGAACCAGGATTCCAAACCAGTTCAGAGGGTCCTGGGGGGCTGGGGAGGGCTCCCGATCTGCCGTCCTGGTGAGACCCTTGCGCCTGCGCAGACCTGGACCAAGAAAGGCTGGAGGTTGGGGGTCTTATTACCTGGCTTTTGTCTTCTCAGTGACAATGTTGAACTTGATCTGAGCTCATGATCCTGGAAAATACTGATGGTTGGACAATCCCCCCTGCCTTTTATGCTCCAGAAAACAGCTTACCACAAAGAATCACCCTTCCCCTTGTGATTCAGATGGGAGTCTCTGTCCACTCGTTCTCGTGACCCTTATAAGACCAGCTGATGACTCCCTTGTCTACCTGTGACAAAGCCACCCACTGACCTTTCCCATTTTGCCTGAATTTGCTAAAAGGCCAGACAGACCCTCCAACTCCCTGTTCTCTGTCTCATGAATGATTAACTGAGATTAGAAGTCTGTCCCCCTGAAACTAGCCAGACACAAACATTTTCTGTTCAGCTGAGACTTGCCCTGATTGCAAAACAATCCCAACTGTAAAGGACCTCGCCTATAACTTGTCTATTTCTCCCTATAAAAGTCTAAGGCAAAAAACCACCTGACTGAGATATTCTGATCTTCAGATCTGGGGTGTTCCCTCTATCGCAAGAGCCTGAAAAAAATCATCTCCTCAGTTATCCTGTGCGTTTGGTCTTTGACACGGGGAAAAGGCCGGACAGGAAGAAGGGGGGCTCACCTGCCTCGCGGGGCCCCACCTCCTCTGGAGTCTGGGCGCCAGCTCTCACCACCCAGAACTTCTGAAGTCCGTCCTGGGCCTCGCTGAAGAACGAGAGGGTTGGATGGACCTTTGGCGGCCTCGGCTGGCCCCTGCCCGCCTACCCGCTCCAGCACGCAAGGCTCCTCACCTGGTGCAGACGCAGACCTGGGGCTCCATGCGGGAGGCGTACTGCAGGGGCCCCACCGACTTGGCGCCCATGGCATAGCGAGCCTTAGAGAGCGAAAGCCAGCCCTGCCGACAGAGGGGAGCGGGCACTCAGCGTGCCGCCGCGCCCGCCCGCGCCCGCCCGCGCCCGCACCCACCTCCTCCACCCGGGCGTTCAGCGCCGCCCGCTTGGCCTCCAGCTCCTCCAGCTCCCCGAGCAACTGCAGCAGCAGCGAGTCCAGCTCGGCCCGCAGGTCCGCGGCCGCCATGGCCCACCGCGGCCGCGCCAGCCTCCTTCAGGGCGCCCGCTCCCCGCTCGCCGAGCGGGCTGACGGCCAACGGGCACGCGAGGCCTGCCCCCGGGGGCGGTCACCGCCGAGCAGCCCGCGGCCGCCGAGCAGCCGGCGGGACAGTCGGCGAGAGCTGCGGGGAGCTCTGAGTCGCTCCTGGAAGCGGCCGCGTTTAAAAGTAGGGCTATCGCTGTGGCGGTGGAAGGAGCCAACCATTTTAAGGGAGGAGCGGCTCTAAATTTAATTCCAGAAGGAGCCGATAGGCGACCCTCGGGTCAGTCATTGTGCTTTTACAGGTGCTGGACTATTTCGAGCAACCAGTTACGATTATTTTAGCAATTCGTCGTTATAAGTTGGGCTCCCTGCACACCGGCGATACGAGGTGAAGCCACGGGCCGACGTCTTTATTAACGGCTGTCGTAAACCAAATGATATTTTGACCCCCCAGCCTATTGGTTGCCCCAGTGGGCATGTGCTTCCGGACTGGCCGACCGCCTTGCGACTCCCACCCGCTGTTCGCCATCTTAACATTGGTCATTCTCCGCAGCAGCAAAGTCTAGTGAAGCCTCCAGCGACCTTCTTGGTTGAGGGCGGAAGCAAGGGCTGCGTTGCGCAGGCGCGGCCCTCAGAGTCTCCTGGACCGACGTGGAAGAGGGGCTCAGCATGGTAGGAGGAATGTTTGAGTTCCTGTTTTGGAGGTTGGGACTTGCAGAGGGCTGGGGATGTGGTCCCTGGGCTCTGGGTGCTTGGTCCCCGGGCGTGCGTGGCGAAAGAGGGCCTGATCAGACCGCTGTTCTCCAGCTGCGCCGGGAGGCCCGCCTTCGCCGCGAGTACCTGTACCGCAAGGCCCGCGAGGAGGCACAGCGAGCCGCGCACGAGAGAAAGGAGAAGGTGCGGCGCGCGCTGGAAGGTACGCCCGCCCCCGGCGGCGCTGGACAGGTCCTTATAAAGACCACGGGTTTGCATTGTAAAGACCAAATGGTATAAAACGCGTTTAATTAGCATTTCTTTGTGTTAGTCTGGGTGAACATCTTTTGAGGTATTTACTGGCCATTTTCCTTGCCTGTTGGGTTTTTCCTTGCCTCTTGGTTTGCAGATGTCCCTCCATATGATGATATAAATTACTTGACATTTGTGTTGCAGTATTCAGATTTTACAGTTTGTTAATTTTGTTTACAGTGTATCTAGTTCTTCCCAAATTCTAAGTTTTTACAATGGTCCTATAGATTGTTAACGCTCTGTAGTTTTTCTTCTTTCTACCTTATTCAGTACAGGGTAACGAGAATATCTTACTGTCTTTTAGCGCTATTATGATTCCCTTGCATTTTTAAACTGTTAATCCTTGTAGAACTTAATTTTGTTTGCGTTGTAGGTTAAGATCTAACTTTGCAATATGTTCTCCACTTTTTTTTATATAATTTTATTTATTTATTTATTCCCCCAAAGCCCCAGTAGATAGTTGTACGTCATAGCTGCACATCCTTCTAGTTGCTGTATGTGGGACGCGGCCTCAGCATGGCTGGAGAAGCGTGCGTCAGTGCACACCCGGGATCCGAACCCGGGCCACCAGCAGCGGAGCGCGTGCACTTAACTGCTAAGCCACAGGGCCGGCCCAATATGTTCTCCACTTTTCATTTGCAGTACTAATGAAGAGTCTGTCACACATGCCTGATTGGAAATGCCATATTTATCCCTATTATGTTGGTTCTTTTGTGGGTAGAGCATTGTTTCTGTTCTGATGGCACATAAACTCGATACCTCTGATTATTTTAAATTCACTTCGATGTTCCCAGGTTTTAGATATATAAAATATATGTGATATGTATCTATTTACGTTAAGCATAATGTTAAACACCGGTGTCGACGCAAAATAACCAACGACCATTCTATAGATAAGAGAAATAAGGTGAGGTTACTTGAGCCAGAGTGAGGATTATAACCTGGGAAGGCCTTAGAAAGTGTTTCAGAGAAGCATGGTTTTCAGTACAGTCATATCTTTTTAGAACAAAGAACAGACATTAAACACACCCAGGATACATTTTTGTCAAAGTTTCAAACAGGTATTCAATTGCAAACATGACCATGATGTCAGGAAAAGGACTAATCTGGGCATTACCAATAGGGCATAGGAGAGGAAGTATGCATTCTTATCTTAAGAGAGTGTATTCTTTCCTTTAGTGGTTAAGCAGATGTACAATGTATGTTTAATAGGCCATAAGTCAGGCTTTTTACTTCAAGCTGAATCAGTTTTGAATGGGAATAGTTACCCCATATACCTCAATATGTGAAAATCTCTTGCCACCTGTGACCTACCTGCTCACTTTAAGAAAGGAAAAATGGGGCCGGCCCCGTGGCCTAGCGGTTAAGTGCGCATGCTCCGCTACTGGCCACCGGGGGTTCGGATCCTGGGCACGCACCGACGCACCGGTTCCCCCGGCCATGCTGAGGCCATGTCCCACATACAGCAACTAGAAGGATGTGCAACTATGACATACAACTATCTACTGGGGCTTCGGGGAGAAAAAAAAAGGAGGAGGATTGGCAATAGATGTTAGCTCAGGGCTGGTCTCCCTCAGCAAAAAGAGGAGGATTGGCATGGATGTTAGCTCAGGGCTGATCTTCCTCACAAAAAAGAAATGAAAAATGATCACTATATTGAAATTCAGGAATATTTTCCTCAACTTAGATAACCACAATATTGAATATTGATTGATTAAAAATAACCTGTTTGGGGCTGGCCCCGTGGCGTGGCGGTTACATGCGCGCACTCCGCTGCTGGCAGCCCAGGTTCGGATCCCGGGTGTGCACCGACGCGCTGCTTGTCAGGCCATGCTGTGGCGGCGTCCCACATAAAGTGGAGGAAGGTGGGCACAGATGTTGGCTCAGAGCCAGTCTTCCCCAGCAAGGAGTGGAGGATTGGCGTGGATGTTGGCTCAGGGCTGATCTTCCTCACAAAATAAATAAAGAACACCATTAAAAAAAAATAAATAACCTGTTTCCTTGCTTTCTTTGTGCTTGTATCATACTTGTTTGTATCCCTAAATCATATTGGTCAATTTTTAGTTTAAAGATAGTATGGGGTTGTATGTATTCTTTTGCAACTTTTGTGTTTTGGTTCAGCTTTGTTTCTAAGATCCATTAAGTGTAATAGAGGGCCCCTTCGGGTGAATATTCCACAGAGTCTTAATCCATTTCCCTGTGAGTGGTGTTGAGCTTATTCTTAGTTTGGGGTAGTTAGGAACAGCATTGCTGCTGTGAACGTTCTCTTCCATGTGCAGGAGCTCCTCCAGTGCATATTGGAGAGAAGTGCTGGACCCAAGGGCCTGCCTCTGTTCAGCTCTGTACTGCGAAGTGAGCATGCCCACAACCCAACTCCTGTTTTGGATCCTGCTGTAGTTCACAGAGGAAACCTCTGACCCAGAGCATCATGATTAATGGTTTTGTTAGAGGGTTTCAGAGTTTCTGATCCACTTTCATACAGAAAGAGCGATCTCTGTTTATTCTTTAAAAAATTAATTTGTTAACTTTTTTTCTAACTACAAAAGCAATACATATTTGTGGTTAAGTATTTTAGAAAGCCCTCAAGCCATGAGACTCAGGAGCCATAGAAAATACAGTCTCTTGTAACTACTGTTAACAGACTAGTGTGTGGACAGAAATAAATTGTGTCTCATCCCCCCCAGCCGCCCATCGCCCAATAATCACACATCACCTCTCTGCTTAGAAAGGAGTAAGAAAGATATTTTTCCATTGTTAAAAAACAAAATCTAACTGAGTAAGCTTTAAAGATCTTACTGGCTTTATTCAGTGATTCATGACTCCGGCAGCCTCCCATCTAGCAGATAGAAAGGAACTCCAAGGAGCTGTACAAGATGAAAGACTTATAGGCAGAAGGGGACAAGACAAGGAAGTTACACTAGACAGAAACATGGATGGGTTGTGACAAGGTCACTGTCCTTTAGGGACAGCAGGGGTCCATCGGGCAGATGACCTCACCAGTGCTGACCAGGCGATTCCTGACTGGTTGGTTTAAGGTTCCATTCCTGGGAGAGCCAATGCTGTAATTAAGTCTTGGTCTGGTGACGTGGGGCTTAGCATAAGGTGACTCATTTTGGGCCTGTTGTCTTGTTTTTAACACCTCAAGTTTGTAAAGATTTGTAAGCCACAGTGTTGTATAAATGAGGGCTCCATGCGTGTGTCTCACTCTGCCCCTCTGTCTTCCCCTGCAGAGAACCGCCTGATTCCCACTGAGTTGCGCCGGGAGGCTCTGGCCTTACAGGAGTCCCTGGAGTTTGAGGATGCCGGTGGTGAAGGTGACCTTCCTCCACACTGTGGGCCAACTCCTCTACCTGCACTCGAGCCCACTGGCCTCCACGCCCTCCCTCAGACACCTTGAGGAAAGGCTCTGCGGCTCCTGCTCCTGTAGCTGTCCTGCAGGTTCCCTCGTGGCTCTGCACAGATGGCACCTCAGGAGAGCTCTCCCTAAGTGCTCCCAATTTCATTTATGACACATACAGTTTTACCCCACTTACTCTGCTTCACTTTGTCTGTGAATTGTCCCCTCACTAGAATGTGAGTTGTGCCAGGGCAGGACACTGTCCACTTTGTTCACTGCCCTGTCCCCAGTTCCCAGCACTTCATTGGCACTCAGATGTTTCATTCATTTGCATTATTTGACAAATATGAAAGGAATCAGAAACGTATAAGTATTTGTTATGAGAGAAGGGAGTCTCTTACCTTTGGCCTTAACAGAATCTGGACTTTGCTAACACTATAGCCACTAGCCCATGTGATTAATACAGCTTAAATGAACTAAAGTTAAATCAAATTTAAAAATTCAGTTCCTCAGTCGCACTTGTACTTATAGCCAATGTGGCTGGGGGCCACCTTGTTGCCCGTTGTGGGTATGGAGTGTTTCCATTGTTGAAGGCGCTGTCAGGCAGTGCTGCCGAGTTAGCATTTCACTTCCCAACAGTGTCATGTTCTTGCTCCTCATGCTCCTGACAGGTGTGACCAACCACATGGATGATGAA